TGTAACATATTTTATTCGTGAAAAGTTTGAAATGTAGTATAAGGTAGTATAATTTAAACGTATTGAATAACGCTCAATCCCCTTATTGTTAGTACCTTACAATATTTTCATACATCGTCTAGAATTACAAAGCCATAGAAACAGAAACGTGTAAGAGTCTCGGTGAAATGGCATCAGTAAGAAAAATCGAAATATTCAAATTGTGTAAAAAATGTTTGGAGTGTTAAAACATATTTACAGTCAGTCATAAAAGTCCACATCTGCCCGAATATCAAATATTTAAAGGTTTTAAACTAAAATTTTAAACATTTCGCCGACCTATTTATCAGTTGAAGTTATACAGATTCTGAATAAATGATAATGCTTGCTATACTTGGCGAAATAAATCGAAACAAAAAAATCACGTATAGAATTTACTCGTAACATTATATTTATACTTAGATATTTTGCATTTTCACAGTATTTTCTTTGTCTACGAGCTAGTTAATAAATTTATCTCTAAAATTTGGATCGCACTTTTCATCGTGCGTTTTATGAAGACAGCCACAAATCAAAAATAAACAAAATAACTAATAACTCTCGTGCAATCGGCTTTGAATTCAGAGCGAAAGTGAATACTAGAACCAACTTACAGATTTAACTTTAGAAATTAATTTTAGATTTATAGATCGAAGAATTATAAATGAGATGCATATCCATTTTTGGTACCTGTTTCAACAGAAATACTGTAATAATTCCTACAAACACAATAAAATACAATAAAATTCCATTTATTCCTTCAGTCTGAGAAATATTCTACAGACAACATAATTCAATGTAAAACCTTCTATAAACAATTTAAGGAAACAAATGCAAGAGCTACTGGATTACCTAAAGTCCTCTAAATTATATAGTAATATTAATAAAATAGTATAGCATATATAGCATAAAAGCCGCCCATAAATATTCTAAAATATTATAAATCGATAGAAGAATCACTAAATTATTTAAAATCGTCTAAATTATATATTAGTAACCTCAATCGCAACGTTTACGTTTGCTGTGATACCATAGTTGACCAATGATCCAACCCTGACTTTCGTTTGGCAGAATCTTGTTTCTTTTACCTAGATTCATCCCTCCTTGTCTGATCTACGTACGATTCAAATACTTCGGAGGATTTATTTCGGTCACGTTGACTTCATTGTTATTTTCATGCAAAGATTCGTACAAATAAACAAACACGCAACGATTATGTAACAATGATACGAAAAAATGGGACTTGGCTTTGCCGATTTTCAAATTGCGACATTGTACAAAATGACAAATGAACACGATAAAAACATATAAAATATCCGAATTTATTTATCTTTATGGAAGTTTTCTTCTTTCAAAAATACAAATTTCCATAAAAAAATTCAGTCACGTTTTTCATGCTTTTTCTATATTTATCAAATTGTCCATTTTTATTGGATGTATATGTATGCTCTCATGTATTATACATCTCAAATAAAAATGTTAGAGAAATGTTGTTTTCTATTGCAACTCTCAAGATGCTGTAATTTGTGACGTGTGCGTTTAAGTATTCAAGCGAACTGCACGATTCGAACGTCAAGCGGCAAAGAAACTATTATTATTACTGACGGGAATCAAAGTGCAGCTCATCATGTGCCAATGCTACCGCCAGATGTGAAGTTCATCATAATGCCCCGCTTGTTCTCGCTGTTTTATGAATTGCACTTGCACTCGAATTACGAGTAGAAATAAAAAGATTCAAGTATTAATTTATAACACATTCATATCTACACGTTAACATTAGTTCACAATGTATAATAAACAATATCAAACACCTAACTAAAATATAGTATATATTATAGTATAACATCAGACAATTTGAAAGATCAAACATATCAGTGTGTAATATATAATGTCAAAGATTTTTAAATTAAGATTAAACAAATTTAAAAAAAAAAAATCAGAATAACGAAAATTGAAATAATTGAACAAATTAAAGGAACAGAAATGATATCATCCCTAAAAGATTAGAGATTACGCCACTAAGGCGTATCATTGATAATTATTTCTCAAAAAATAAAGACAATAATTATTTCCTTGCTTTGTTTTCAGAAAATGTTATTACCACTGAACTGATATCATTAGTTATGATTATTAAAATTTAGGGCTAAATATCTTAATTCTCGTAAATTAATTTGGCTTCAACACAGATCCTATAAATGTTAATAACATAAAGAGAGACACTTCTAACGTAACATTTAAGGGTTCAAGCAACAATTATTATCTTACTCATTTCGAAAACTATTAGGAAAACAACAATTAACACCACCGACGACTAAATCTTCTGAGAACAGAAATTAAAGTGCGAGAAATGGGAACAATCATATCATTCAGGAAAAATTATTCAAATCTCCGAAAACCTCGAAACATTTAACGTAAAGAGAATGAAAAAAAAAAAAAAAAATAATGAATTGCTCGTTTCGATTACTCCAGCTAATTCTAGCATTATTCGTGCCAAAGACGTGTCAAGCCGTGTCAGGGAAAATTAAAACGAAGGCTCATCAAGGCTGGATAATGCCAACGCGTTGCTAAACAAGAACAAGAGGTTCGTGTCATCGATGACCCTTGGTCATCGAATGTTTGCAGGATTAATTCCCATGAAATTCCAGAACGATGACGCGGGAAAGAATAGGGAGCTCGTTATGCAACCGAGCGCGTTATGCCTCGAATCCGACTGACTATTTTCAATTATTCTGTGATTCGAGCGATTTCCGGAGGCTCGCGGCCAGTTGTGTGTCGTTCCCTCTAGACGCTCCGAGACCAGGTGATTCAAGGTTGCGGAAGAGCGCGACCCTCTCCGACGATGCACGCGCGTATTTTGGCACGCCTTTCATTCGCAAATAACCCGCTGAAACACATTATCGATCGATCAGTGTTTCCTTGTCCCGCGATTTATTTTTAAGCGAACTGTGCCCTGTGTTCAGATTATTTAATCCGTTAGTCCCTAATTTTAGGAGTGTATAGCTAAGTATATCGCGCGGCTAAAATCAAGAGTATATTATTTGTCAGACGTGCAATGTACACGGTGCGAAATAATATGTAAAAATCACGACGTGATTCTTGCTTGGTAAAAATAAAGAAAAAATAATATTTTTTTTTTTTTTTTATTTGAGGCCTCGTCTGAGTTCTCGAGATCGGCAGAGATATCGAGCTCACGATGGATCATCCAATCAATGCTCGAGACTTCCGGCAAAGACTTCTCTCAATGCTTGTTTATTGTTTAGAGCTGTCAGAAGTGCACTGATCAATTAACACGCGTGAAATACAACTGTTGCAATGAACAGAACGAATGCAAATAATTTTTTCGTCCATCTATCTCTGCAGTATTAACCCTCATTCGTGCTTTCTGTCAATTTTGTACAAGATGTATAAGATCACGATATAAAATTCTATATCTAGATTCGTCTGTACCAGAGTAGACACAATTGAATAAAAATTTAGTCTATTTACTGTTAACAAAGAATTAACAAAATTTAACTGTTTATCTTTCATTGAAGCTATCTATTAATTTTTTAATCTGATATCAAGGAATAAATTAATTTGAAATTAATCAGAAGAAACCAAAATTCTAATCCTAAGATTGTCATAAACCCTAATCGTTAGATCCTATTAAAAACATAAAAATTTAATTAATTTCGGAATTTTTAATTTTACTTAATTCTATTACTAGTCTCTATTTACACAGAGAATGTAAAATATAATAAATATCAAATTTCACTAATCTGGCATAAATGATTACGATCATTTATAACTAAGACACCCTACGGATTTCCCCAGATTTGTTTTGATTTTTAACCCCTTGAGTACTATGGGCACATATGTATATATACTCAGAAAAATAAATTCATCATGGCCTATTGTCACCGTTAACCAAAATAGTTAAAACAAACGTTCAGACGGATTTTCTGATGTTTGCTTGCTTATGTGTTCTCCCATACTATGTATGTATTGCGTTCGATGATATGGCGTATGTCAGACTCATCTATAACGACATAATGAACAACAATGGATTTCTTTTTCTAGCAGCGATTTTTAAGCGTTGCGTCCTCATCAGGAGCAATCCAGATGCGAGCACATTGCAATTCAACTGAGACATCGCATCGCGCGCTCGTGGTAATATGAAATTCTAATATCTAAAGTACAAAAAATGCTTGAAAGTGGCCGAGTTTCGGATGGAAAATGCTGGTTGCCCCAATTTTGTAATTTTACAAATGGCAGCCCGACTTACAACCTTAAACTTCTCAACAAGCGGATTTCTCTGTCGCGTTACTTCATCGTTAATGAGTCGAAGGAGAAAAACACGCGTGATATCGCGCGAACGACATCACCTCGTATCGTCCGAGATATCGCGTCGAAGATACGGAAGGGTTGAGAGCTCTCTGACAAAACGCGAAACGCAGTACAACTCGGCGAAGTGCCCGGCCAAGGTCGTTACATAACGCTCGCCATTAGATTGAACGACATTAGTAATTATTTCATTAGCACACCGGATACATTGCATTGGCCCTCGTCGCTTGTTACTGTTTCAATTGATATTCAGCATCGCGCCGCCACGGAAATCGTATTTGGCGTTCCTCCTTGGCAAACAAACGATGCACGTCTCCGCGATGCGTTTCAGAGCGTACAGAACTAGCAAACAAACAGCCGAAGCCACGATGTATATCTCGTGAACGATATGCAATTTCATATTAAAGATACTGTATTGTAATTTGATAAATTCATATTTTCAATAATATAACGTAACGAAATTATCATTTTGATGATAATGTAAATGTAATGTAAATGGGTAGATTGCGAATACTTATGCTAATGTTTTATAATTTAATTCTTTGTGATGTAATCACAATTATAATTTAATAATTATATATTATAATTATTACATATTATTATTATTATTCGTATATTATATATAATTAATATTATATATATATATATAATTAATATATTATTATAATTTAAATTAAATTATTTTAATTATATGATATAATTTAATATATAATAGTACAATTATAATTATAATTTATAATGCTTTGTAATAATTGAATATTATTATTATAGAAGAACATTTGGATAATTTTTCTCTTAAATAACAGTAGAGTCTGCATACAAATTTTTGCAATTGTTGATTCACTTTGTTTCTGGAAAAAATGTACTATTGTAATATCATAAATGTAGACTTGATTATTATATTGTTTCACCGACCTTGGAACTGTACGTGTATAATAAATTCCTTGACATATTGATAATATACAGATATATAAAATAAAACTTTTTAAATATACACATACATGTAACTTTGAAATCATGATATTATAGATTTGTAATGTTTGTATTATTCAATAGTTTATTAATTTGTACAGATATCCGTGATCATACATATTACAGACTCATCGAAATGAAACCAATTAAGTGACGTTCTAATAGCCTTTTTTTCTAATAACAAATCGAAAAAATTAATTTACCAACTTAGACAAAATTATAATATCACGCGCATCGTTCATATCAGATGAAGATTAAATCAACGAAACTATAAACTATAGGATTGCGATATACGTACGCCTTGGGTTCTGCAGGCTCCGCGGTGCTTCTGAAGGATCAATCAGCTCAGTTGGTTCCTCTGACAGCGAATCACGGAAAGCAATGTTTTCTCTCAGACTGCCCCGAAACCGAAAACGAACGAAACTAACAGCACACCTAACGTCACTCGATCCAAAGTCTGCGATCTGACAAACGTCCTTCCATTCAGTTCTACCAGCTTTATGCTCACGGGAGCAAACGTACACGCGTATGTTCGCGCGAACACATGTGTCGTCAACGAAAGCTTGATCCATTGTCGGAGATTCGATCAGAATATACGGACGAATGTTAAGTAGTTTGGCGGGACGTTTAGCTAAAATCCCTCCACAAGGACGCGAACAGCAAGGACAAAGGAAACGATGATGATCGCGACAGTGCCGTGGTTTGACGACGATGAATTTCTAGTTGGGCAATTGGGCAATGGTTTATCGGTGGTCGTCTCAATTTGCTCGATTCCCGGAGTTGCATTCTCCTGCTGTAGCTGATTGCTTATCAATGGCGTTGAATGAACAGTGACCGTGGGCTCGTAATACGGTGGCTGATAAACGTTATCGGGGTGAGCAGGTTGAATCACCGCGGTCGGCCCACGGGGGATAGATTGAATCGAATGGGTCGTGTCTGACGAGTCCACCGATGGGACTAAGTATTCTGGCGCTCTATTTTCGACACTAGGTATAGATATAGGTGGATACTCCACGACAGTAGGTATAGACACAGGTGGATATTCCACGTTCGATGGTACGGTGTTCCTTTCTGGCCCATGTTTTGTGTCAAAATCCACGTACGATGGCATCGTCTGGTGACGATCGTCTTGGCCTAGTGCCAGCAAGTTTGGCAGCCTCGAATAATCCGGCTGTTCTGTGTAATGTTTATCCTCGTTTCTATGGGGTGGATAGACCGGTGGATATTCGTTACTGGCACTGGTAGGTTCCGAGGTTCTTGGCCAAGAACTCAAGGTCGTTGTGTCTTGGCTGCCGTACTGTGTCGTCTCACGCTGTTGGTACTTTTCGAGTTCGATTGGTGCGATGGTTCCCGGAGGAATATACGGTGCCCTTGTATTCTCATTTTCATCGTATGATAGAGTTGCAGTTTCTGGTCTGTTATCATAAGGGGCGGTGATTGTTTCTGGAGTTGTCCTCCAATATGGAGTGTTATAAGGACGATAAACTACTTCTTCAGTTGTGTGGAACTTCGGTTGAACGTACGATACTGTCGACGTCACGGTTGGAGATGGTGTCGTTGTTAGGTGTAATCTCTCGCGAAAGATAGGTAATTGTGTGGACGGTTCTTCCGTATTGCTTTCTTCGTAGTAGGTATCATCGTCGTACAGTACTTCTGCTGAAATTAAATCAGTTGAGAATCTGTCCCAGTCTGCGTCCTTTTCGAAGCTTACTCCGTGACTCTCGAGGAACGCGCTGACAGCGTTTGGACACTTGAACTCAGGATTTTCAGTCAAAAAGATTCTTCTTAATTGCTTTAGGCGCGACATGGATGCAAGATTTAGGCACTCTAAACGATTACCAGATAGCCTTAACTCAACGAGGCTGGGTAAGTTTTCGAACACGCCAACCTCGATAGACTCTATGTTATTGTAATTTATATCCAAGTACGTCAAGTAATCCAAACCTTTGAACCAGGATTTCTTTATGGTAGTCAAATGATTGTTGTCGAAACTTAATTGTTGAAGGTTATTCAGATGTTGAAAGGCGTCAGGATCAATGTCTGTTATATCGCAATGGGAACATCCCAGGACCCAGAGATCCGAGCCAAACCTCGAGAAGGTGTCCGCAGTTATCCGTCCAATTGGCATGTTAGAAATTCGGATTTTGCCAGTTTCTGCGGGAAGATCGTTCAAATCGGACAACTGGCCACTCGTGCAAAGATATTCTATCATGTCGTCGTTCTCCAACCGCCTGCATGCCCCTTGTACACCACCAACACTTCCACACAATACAATGCACAGTAACAGCCCGACGATGCCACCCATTCTTATTAATTTTAAATAATCGTACAATCGGTATTGTTTCAATTATTTCACGTTAATTACAGTTCTATGCGATACAAAGTATGTATCATTATTCAATTTTGGTACATTTGAACGGCTTCAAGGATCGCAGTCATCGTGGTAGGGATTTTAGCCGAAAACTCTGCGACGTCTAGCGATCAGCTAGATCAGCTAGCCAATCTAATTGTTCTGTAGACTGAATCCTCTCCTGCGTTCCCTCTTTACTTATTTACTAGTATTCTCCCCTCCCTATCGTCGTACTAGTAGTCCACCTCCTACTACTGCTTCCAAGCAGTACTATGTATTGATAAAAATAGAAAGCTTGAAAATAGCATGCTGCTCACTTGTTCATTAGATCATTGAGGTGATCTATAGCGTAATTGAAGGGGTGGGATATTGTGCTTAAATTTACGAGCGCATTGCCACTCAAATGCATGCCGTTTCCTATCGATAAATTTGATACCGGTAAGACTGCATAATGTATAATGTGTGTTGTATCAAACACGAGATATTCATAATAATGAATAAACTTTCTGCTTACGATGAATGATCATTTATATTGCTTTTTAGATAGTAGCCTTGAATAGTAGCAGTTTGAATTTCATTTATTAACATGTTAATAACATTCCGTTCGTAATTGAACAGAAATATATTATTAAGTATTATAATTATAATAAATAATTAAGTATTGGGAATTTTTATTATATAAATGTATGAACTATAAATTTTTGAAGGTGCAAAAATATTTAGAATATGCTTAATATGTTAAACGTTTAAATAAAAAATATCTCTGTGAAGATACTATTTCCATACTTTTTTACATAAGAATATAATAAGTTTAAATAAAAATAGAAATATAAATTTGCATAGATACAATAGTTTTATTATAAGAATGAAATTCACAGATAATACTCTTAGTAATTCTGCGTTTGACACTTACCTTACGTTTCCTACGTTGTTTTTTTCTGTCATTTTCTTCGGTAAAAGCTTTGTACTCTGGAACTTCACCTTTTTCAATAAGTCCCTGGATAATACTATGAATTCTTGGTTCATCATCACAATTAGTAAATGGAACGGTTTCTAGGATGTAATCCATGTTTCCTTTACCTACACAAAAAGATGATCGATTCGATAAACTAAATTCATTAATTTAGTTCTCTTAGAATAATAAACACAACTATGGTAAATTCACTTACTGTCCATGTATGCCCGCTTCAAGTCTTTGATTTCTATTTCAGAGCCTTTGTAGTTTTTCTCATAATTATTGATATCTTCCACTGAAATTTTTTTGAAAAGAGACTTCCAATAGTCAGCCCAGTTCCTCATCATAACTTCTTCGCTTTCTTCATCATATTGACCAGATTGGTCATAAATTTTACGCTTTTCATTGTCACTGAGAATAGAATAAATCCGTCCAAGGACTTTGAATTTTTCTGTTGCTTCTGCCTTAATATTCTCCTCAACACGATCAGGATGTACAAGCAGAGATAATTGATGATATGCTTTCTTTACTAAAAAAATATCAAATAATTATTGTCCTATATTTAAATGTAACGATTTTCATGTCTGAGAAGTGAATATATACTTGAAAACGTAAGAAATTATAGTTTGAATAGAAAGGTTATGTTTACGTACTTTGTTTATCGTTGGCTTTTCTTGATATTTTTAAAACTTCGTAAAAATCACGCGCTCCGAAATACTGTTCACAGAGGTCTAATAAACTTGTCATGATTTTGGTTAAATTCTTACTAAACACTAACAAGTATTGTTACAAACTATCCCGAATAATAAACCAACATTATACGTTTTCGCGCTTGTTTTTAGCTAGATAGATTCAAATAACATCCTGAAGAGCACGACATCTACAATCATTGGTGCACGGACAAAGACATGTATAGACCAAGCATCTTGTGAAATTTCGTGTCTCATGCTCTGAAATACCGATGTAGTAAAAAATCACTAGTTTTTTAGCGCACTCTACGTTTAAACCAACCTCGTCTGTGGATGCGCTAAAAATCAGTGATTTTTACTTTTGAGGTCGCGGGCCACGAAATCCCGTAAGATGTTTCATCTGTTTTGATATCTCGACTTGTGGTTAAGATATGTTTCCAATGTCATGTTGGTAGCATTCGCGCATTGTTGGCACCATTCAGATACGAAGCACCAGTGGTAGTATCATGTATTATTTTTTTTTTTACGTGTGATTATGACACGATAGCCGGGTAGTGTTTAGAATCAGTAACTGCTATAAGATGCCAGATACGTTAGATAATTGGCGTAATTTCGCACTAGCGAAAGATTAAATGAATTGTTAATGCGTATACTCTACAATTTGATAGGTAATTACATTAGTTAGCAATTGTTATTTCTCGTGGTCCAGTGACGAATAAAATCTGAAAAAGATAGTCAGCATCATGTGAAACATTATGACATTATCGAAAGTACAATGGTATAATGCGGTATGCCGTTACCGGTTTGTTATACGGTTCGGTTTTGATCTAACCTAACTTTTTACCATAGAACTTTTTAACGGGGTTATTCAGTCCTGCTGGGATGCTTTGCCTTTTTTTAGCTATGAACAATATCGTAAGTTCGTTGAAAATGTTAGTGTGCGTGTACGTGTGTGCAACGTTGCGTGAATTACAGCTCCGATTTGACATTGTAAACATAACGACTTGACCTTACAATGGCAAGTTGGACGACCTTGACTTTGGCAAGTATACATTGACCGAGTAATTACTCTTATCGACTTGAATCAAACGTTTGATAATTTAATTGATGAAATGTATTATCAATCAATTTTTTTACGTCATATAACCTTTAATTCGTAGCAAGCAGTAGCTACAAACAATGATTGGTCTTTTGTTTTGTTACAAGAATGTATTAAATCATTTTGTTTTTCTTATATATGCCAAACGTTTTATAATATGTCCTTAGTAGGGAAAGAAGTTTATGCTTCATATAAATGTGGATCTTTTGTAATGCACATCTATTAGTGTTGCTTGCTTTGAAGTCCAAAATTAATTTTTAAATTATAAAACGCTGTTTGTTTTTTCTTTCTTTCACTTTAAGGTGAATTTTTTAAAATATTTTTTAAAGTATTCACTATCTTATTATTTGATAATGAAATAAGAATACCATTTTAAATAAAATGTATAAAATAAAAATTGTAATTTTTTAATTCTTACACTAGGTATTTTTCAATGTTATAGGTAATTTGTAAACACATTTACTGTGGTACTGAAATAGTTACACTGGCATATATGTTTCGGTGAGTCATTTAATCTTTTTATCCTAATATCGGCATTGATATATCATATGATATTGTTATATTATATTATGTATTTTATTTAATACTGACTTTATTAAGTTAAGACATTGCCATTGTCAATAGTTTGTCAATGTAAATTATAATTGCATTCAGATTTTCTCATATAAAATTTTTCAATAAAATTCCATTGTTAATTATAATAATTATAATAGTATGATTGTTACATTATCGAAATGCAAAGAAGTATATTATTAATATATTAACATTCAAATGTATATTCATGTACAAATTTAAATAAATCATGATAAAAATGATTTATAGTTTTGTTTAATACGTTGTCTTATCTGTTTTGTGTAGATAGATATGTAAAAATTCTTTTTCAAAATACATATGATTATCAATGTCATAAATAACATAGAAATTAAATCAACATAAATCAACAAAACTGATTCATTTATTATATAATAGACAATAAATTAAATGTTATGTGAAAAAAGAACACGAAAGTTTGAAATATGGTCGTGATCTTAACTTTTAATGTTTTTAATATTTTTGTTAATATATATTTAATATTATATATGTACTCAATTATTATATGTAATATTTAACAACTTTCGTTTATTTAACAATACCAGGTTTCATTTCATTTCATTTAAAAAATATTATGTAAAATATAATAGTTATATATATATATATATAATATATAAATATTATATATAATATTATATATAATAATCACTTTAAAAAAGTGATATAATTTTATTATGTAAATAAAAATTTAGAATAAATTTCTTCAGCTAATGTAAAATATAGCAACCATCTTTATCGACGGGATTATCAGTCCAATTTTGATTTTCACCACTAGGTGTCATTCGCAGTTTCCAGTCTTTTCAAACAGTATTTTACAATTGTGCGTCTGTACCGTTTCTAAAATTATTTTAAATTAGTTGTTTATTTGTAAAAATGTTGTTCACTTTTGTTCATTGAGTAAAAGTGTTATAAATACTTTGTTAATATCAGTTCATTTCAAGTAGAAGTATAGGAGAACGGGAATTTCATTGTTTAGGATTTCATACGTGTCGGAAAGCTGTAACGTAAGTAATCAAAATATTTGTTAATTTGTTAACTTGAATCAAATGCTATATTTGCGCTATATTTATTTGCAAATTTTTTCTGTATCAAGGAATCATACGATTTTTTATTTTTTCGTTATTATTGCTATTGAAAATCAAGTTAAAACGACTAAATAGCGAAGTTAATAAGCAATATAGGTTATTTGTCATTATATATATATATATATATCAGAATAATGTTGGAATTTCAATTACTGGAATATTATGTATATATAAATATTATGTATATATAAATAGAGATGAGATTTTATCGTTATAAAATTTCATCATGTGAATCTTTCATTATTTATGGAATATTTGCAACTTGTATTATTTTTGAAAAGTGCAAATTCGAACAACTGTCATGGTGGTTACTACGTGATTCAGTGCAATTACAGTTACCTTGTATTTTGTTTAACATTTCACCTCGTTACGTTTGATTAAATAAGATTTATATTTGTAATAATAAATGCTAAATATTAAAATTTAGTAAATGTAGTCTTAACCTTTTTTTTTCGAGCTTTGTCCGTTTTTTGTCATTAATATTACATGACGGCCGTGCGGACCGTCTTTCACTTTTCTCAAGACAAACCGATTTCTCTGAGTAGTTTGACCATTTCTTCGGCAGCCATTACCTTTTACTTTCGTATTAACTTATTTCGCGTACAATAAACGAACGATATTTATCAAAATTAATTAATAATCTCATTAGTATAAACGCAACTTAGTATTTCATTTTTATTTTTTATATTTCTCCATCATTTGCAATTCCTTCGCAAGATTCAAAATCTCCATTCTTTTGTAATCGAAGCGCTTTCTGTTCGCCCGGTAAAACAGTTTCCTTTTTTCCCCGTGATATTA